GTATGGTGAAGGAGAAAGAGTGTATTGTAACAGTAACTTTGTAAACAGAAGAGAAAATATAAAAGAGTGATAGTGATTATGTAAATGGGAGAAAAAATACGAAAGAAAGATAACGAGGACGAAAAGAAAGAGGGGCGAAAGATAAAAAAAAAATGAAACATCAAATCATAAGATGGTCGAAAATCATCATAGAAGTGGTTGATGGTGACTATCGTGATTACAATATCATGAAAGATGAGTAGAAAAACAAGGAAAAAAAACTGGTTAATAAGTTGTAATTGAGAAATCCCATTAAAATTTTAATATTATTTACAAATGCTTCATTGAAATAAACCTATTTTACTCCTTCATGCTATAATTTTTTTTAAGTGTATAGAAGTTCCAAGAAATTATTGTTTCGGACATAATATTTTAAGAATTTGAAAGGCGTCATTTGATAACTAGAAATTTTAACATGAAGCAGTATGAAAAGATACATTAATGAAGTACTATTTTTAATCGTTAGATTTAATAATAAAATAATTAACGGTTCAAATTTGTTATTTGTAATTTGTTTATGAAAATTTTTGTATTTTGTAGATTAGTCCTTGTTTAGGACTACTGTTTTGGCCGCCGGCAGGTGGTGAGGACGAGGAAGACGTCAGCGGCGAGTGCGACGGCGAGGCCATCAAGGGCGAGCCAGGGGCGGGGAGGGCTAGATTTGGAGGTGGCGAGGTTTAGGGTTTAGGAGAGGTCCTAGGAGAGTTGAACCCGCAGACGACGGGGAGGGGGAGGTAGCGTCAGAGGAGGGACATGAGGCCGGTGGCGCCGAGGAGGAGGAGCCCATGCCTCCGTTGCCACCACGCGAAGAAGGAGGCCGCACCTCCGTTGCCATTGCGCGAAGGAGCCCGCGCTTCCGCTGCCACTATGCAAACGAAGTCGTACTTCCGCTGTCATCGCTTGAAAGAGCCCGGGCCTCCATGTTGCCACCGCGTGAAGGAGGCCGTGCCTCCACTGTTACCGCACGAAGGAGGTCACGCCTTCCCTGCCACCACTGTGCTGCCACCACCGTAGAAGGAAACGCCACTTTCGTTGCCACCGTGCCTCCGTTGCCACCGTCACCGCGCCTCCTCATATAATATAAGGACTATTTTACAATTTTAAATAAGTTAGAAAACCTATTATTACAGGTCATTTTACTGTCTCCATGGATGAGACATTTCTTTCGATGCTTCATGTTAGAACGGTTCTTTGATAACATAAAATCAAAATTATCCGACTTAAAACCTCAACTATATAAAGGTACACAACTATATCAAGGTGACAAGCTTTAGCGTGTGCCGGTCTAACATGTTTACGGTGGTCAACAAATATACACTATTAAATTCTCTCACTCACCAAATTTAATAATGCACCGAATGTGACAGTTTTTTCTCTTTCTTTTTTTAACTTTTCACCCAGTTATGCTCTATTCTAAAATAATAAAAAAAATAATAATAAAAAATAGTAGCCAAACAAATGAAAATGTAGCCAAATATGCACAATGTTCAGTTCCGATAGAAGATGCAACTATGGAGCAACAAGGCTCGCGTGTCCGTGAATCGAGCACTGTCCGGTGTGCATGCGTGCCTAAGGCAGTGTGTCTGGGACCAACGTGTCTTCTAACAAAGTTTCTCCAAGCTTTAGAAGAGTACGACTTCTCCAACGACGGGACCTTAGTCATCCTCTAGGACAAAATACTCTTGTAAGAGGTTTTTCACTTCATTTTTCGATACGACGAGAACAAATTAAGGGTGTAGCCATTTTCTCAGTCCTACCAACCATCTCAAGAACCTTAGTCCTCATTTGTGTCTTTCCAGGTGGAGGAAAGGATGAAGGAGAATAGTACATTAGCATTTGAGGAAGTGACGAAGAGGACATGGACAAATTATAAATTTTATCTGGAAGTGATAATATACAGAAAGTGCATATTAAGATCTTTTAAACCTAATGCAATGGTTGATAATTAAAAATGAAATTGACCACTGTGAACCACTTGTTTTGGTGGTGCACGCTAGCCACATATATAAAGGTACTATTATGTATCAAACAAATAAAAGATTGATGCATCAAATGGATGATTGGAACAAAATTTGTTGTAAGGCACTAGGGTAACTTGTTGTCCTACAACATATATAAAAACACGAGAGAAAAAAAAAAAGTAATCTTCATAAATTCGTAGGTTTCCATTTCGTGTTCAAATGAATGGTGTATAACATAACATAACACTTAAAACCATGAATCAGTTGACCAAACGTCTCTCGTTGATGAAGTAAATTTATAAATTTTCACTGTACTAATCATTTTATAATAATTTTAAAATATAATTTAATAATTTAAAATTTTGTTTTAAGCCAAATATAGCTAAATAGAACTACAAAAATAACATTTGGCATGAAAAACTAGAAATATTGGAGATTAATTGTTTCATCATGTTAGGATTTGCCTCCCATGACACTAGAGTAGATTAATGGAGCTCCAGGAGAGACCGATATTCGGTGGCTAGGGCGAGAAGCGGTGCTGCTAATGATGTTGGAGCCTGATCAAATCATTTGGATTCGAAACTCGGTTGTTGTTGTTGTTGCATAGTATTGAATATTGTTGTGTTGCATTTATGTATTTGTAATTTTTTGTTGTTATTGTTCTTATTTATTTATTCGTTTCAAAAGGTTGCTTCTGTTGTTGCTACTTACCAGGTGTGGAGGAGCGGACTAGTTCATGAATCTCTGACGAAGACCAATCTTCGATAGCCGAGGCGAAAAGCAGTGTATACACAATATCCCAATCAACACTGTTTTTATAAATTTTTCGTCCAAACATATTCCTATTGAAATATTAAAATACATATCCAACAGATACAAATGAGTGTGTAGTAGTGTACCACTTAACTTCATATTTTAAATAGATGGCTCACCCATTGTACCACCTAACGTCTTACTTCAGGGTAGAATCGTTCAACATAGCATAGGCCTTTTTTCCTCCCTTCAAATATAGGAAGTTCAAAAATATCTTTATTATAAACAAGAGTAGAAAAAATTACACAGGTTCTTTTTCGAGCTTAATCGAGATGAGGCAGAAAATGGAGAAAAGAGGGTAGGAAGGAAAACATGTATTATAAATAAATAATCATGGATCTTCAGCTAATCATAAAAACAATGATTCTATGAGCAACCATAAATATCCTAGAAACGAGCTTTCGAATTGAAATCCGTTATGAAAGCTTCTACATATTTTCTTAGATTTAACCAAGAAATAAATAGAAAACATTGGCATTGAAATGATAAATGGAAATATTAAACATCAATCAATGAAACACATATTAGATGCTATTCAAAAGCAAGATTAACACAATGAAATAAGTAAAGACTACGAATGACTTCTTATTGAGTTTTCTCATGTAGCAAGGTGAAGAAGATAAAAACAAAAACAAAGAAAACCTAAAACATGCCTTTTGAGTTCACAATAACACTGACCTAATCTAGGACTTTCACAATTATTCATCTATTTAACTTTTTGCCACCCAACTGCAGCACCCAGCTTGGTATAATGCTCCTCTTTTTATTCAGACCTCCGCACCAGAATGCTTTTCGTTGATCAAATACACATGACGGGCCAGCTCTTATGGTGTCACAGGGAAGTCTGAAAAAATCCAGTTTTTGAAATCTACAAGTCTCTGGGAAGCATATTAAGTTAGAATAGAATTCAGTATTAGATCAAGTAAACTGATACAAATATGTCAACCCTATGAATTTATAAACATAAGAAAAGGCGTGCCAGATTGTAGGAGTAGGGAGTTTCAGCCATGAAATTCAACAACAATCCAAATTTTTGAAACTTAAGATTAATCACAGTATCACAATCAACTTGTATTTTATAAAATGTAAACATGTATGTCGTTTTTGTTTTCTTGAAAATACACAAACATACTTCAAAATTGCACCCCTAATACATATTTTATAGACAGAGAGTACCAAAATTGATCCAGATTTATTGAATGATGAAATAAAAGAGAAGGTACCAATAGCTTGAGTTCAATTTGGAATGCGTCTAGCACCAAGGCGATCAAGCTGTAGGACTTTTGCAGAAGCTTTCAAATGGCCATGATGGAGAAAAGCATCTATCATGTGTTTGGCAATAGCATGGCCAGTTTGCTGATCGTCAATGACAGCAACGGCGGTGGGGCCAGCGCCGCTGATGGTACAGCCAAAGGCCCCAGCACTGAGGGCAGCCCTCTTGACAGCCTCCATGCCAGGAATCAAAGGGGCACGCCGAGGCTCAACGATCTTATCAGAAGACAAAGCCTTACCCAGCCCAGCCACGTCACCCTGCAACACCGCCGCCACCAGAGCCCCCGCCTGGCTGCAGTTCCACACGTGGTGCGGCATCCCTATCTCCCCCGGCAGCGCCGCCCGCATCTTCTTTGTCGGAGCCTCGAACTCCGGCGTCACCAGAACGAAATACAGCTCCTTCTCCGCCGGAAACTTCAGCGAGATCAGCTCCAGCGGCTCGTAGCTGCGAATCAGCACAAACCCTCCCATGATCGACGGACCCACGTTGTCCGCGTGATACCCTGATACCTTCTCCTCCGATTTCAGGGACGCCAGAACCAGCTCCTCCACGCCCAACTTGTTCCCGAACATCTCGTTGACCGCGACAGCAGCGGCGGCGGCGCTGGCGGCGCTGGATCCGAGGCCGCTCCCCAAGGGCAGGCCCTTGTGGAGGGAGAGGGAGAGACCAACGGATCGGATGGAGAGCATTTTCATGACTTCGATGGCGGCGATGCCGGCGCAGTTCCAGAGAGGGTTTGTGCTGAGCTTGTTGGGGGCTTGGCCGGTGATTTCATGAATGGATATCTCGCCGGGGTGAACCTGTGGGTCCACCTTCACCGACACAATATCACCGAGTCCGTCCACCGCGCACCCTAGGAAGTCGAACCCTGGACCCAGATTGGCCACCGTCGCCGGAGCAAACGCTTTCACCACCGTCGCTACGGGTTCCGGCTCCCTTCGAGTACTCACTGACACGCTGCATCTTATTCTCATTCTCGCCGTCCTTCCTTTCAAACTCGCCGGAGACGGACACAGGAAGCACGTCGATGTTGCCATCTCTCTCCCAAATTACGAGTGCCAAAGCCAACAGCACCACCACCAATGTATTTCAATTAAATTTAAATTTCCTTTTTTTGTTCATTGCTAAACCAAAACTAAATAAAAATAGGAGTATATAGATGTTGCTAATTCCTCACTATATCAGCTGACAAGCAAACAAAAAAAAAGAAAGAAAAGCTAGTTTCTACGGATAAAGATTTGAACAAATAATTTAGCATCAAATTAATTTTATAAACTTGATTTTCAAGTGATATAATTTTTATTTAGATATTTTTTTAACTATGTTATTATTTAATAAGATAATTGTAATATTCAATATAGTTTGAGATTTAACTACTATGAAGATATGAATAAAATATAATAATAATTATTAATTAAAAATTAATAATTGATATTACAATTAAATTTAATTTAATTTTATAAAAATTTGATTTTTCATAAATCTTAATCATTAATTTTAAGATAAACATATGGTAATTCACTCTTAATTCTCATTTTAGAAGAGTTAAATTCAAATTTTTGATTTTAATCAATTCTTTTATATGAAACTAGACTTGTGTCCGTTGCACGAAAAATAAATTATTATAGTCAATAGATTTTATTTTAATAATTAATATAAATATAATTATAAAAAATAATTGAACTCAACGCAGCATGAAAAAAGATATATGAATATACAAATAAAATGACAATAATAAATAATTGAAAACATGATAATATAAAGTATTAGGAAAACTAAATTGCATTATGTCTCAGTTTCGAAAACATCAACATCTATAATATGAGCTAATGCATTAACCTGGAAAAAAAAACTTTATAATTAACTTATAAGGTGTAATATTAAAATGCTATAAAGATGTAGTAATTCAAATAGAAAGGAAACAAAATTAAATTTTTACCTTATACAGTAATTATGTAATGATTGCTGAACACATCCATCATGAAAAATAAACTTGGTGAAATACCTGAAAAATTGGTAAAATTAGAACTAAAGTAGACATGTTTTCCTTTTATAATATTATTAAAAAAAATGTAAGTTACTTATGTCAGAGTTTGAAAGACTTTTTGATAAATTACATTAGTAATAGATGTTAAATCATTTATCTCATTATCACAAATAAGATTTTTCAGACCATTGTGAGATGTGACTCGAGATATTCGACATATAATTGGTCATGTGAGAATGGAAGATAGATGACAACATGCTTCAATAATTGTTCTTGCTAGATTTTATTTATTGTCATGACAAAGAAGACATTTATTGGAAATTGTCTACGTTAAAATTTGAAAAAAAAATCTCTTATCTGATAGAATTAAGGACAATTGAGGAATAAAAACCTTTTATCCAATATTGGTGTCTGATATCACTTTTGCCTCCAAAGCATATTTACCCAATTGAGTTATGATAAGTCTAGTTTTATTACACAACTCATAAGATTGATCTATATTTCTCAACAACATTATCGGAACACCAACTTTCAATTTTACCTCATGATTTGGAAGTCCAGAAGCAGTGATAATATTAAAGAATTTAAGGGTATGAACATCATTAGGTGTATCTAATTGCCCTTTAGTAGAACATGTAACACAAAGAGAATCTAGGGTTTGCTGGATTGTAACCCTTTTGCACTCTCTTAGAATACCACATCATTGCTTTACATTTTTGGCACTCACAAGTAGGATCATCAATATCGCAATAAACTATTTATTATTATAAAAAATAATAATAATAAGCCTTCATGTAATAGATTAATGGTTAAAATATGAAACTTAAAATAAAATACAATATTGAAGGCATACAATCGGTAGTGGATACATTTTCATATATACCATCAATGAGTACATTTTGCTTTGAAGGTCTTATTAATCTACCATTGTTCCATATTAATTTTTGTGGTCCTTTCCCTTATGCATGTTTATTATGATTTGATTCACATTCTTCGAACATGTCATCAAATACATTTTTTGATTTGATGTGCGGTTTGCTATTTGGCTAGATAATATCTTAACTATAAAACAACAAAATAAAAAAGGATAATCAAATAAGAAATGGTAAATATAAACATTATAAAATTAAATAATATAGTTATATCAAAAGAAATAAGACTTCATAAATTACCATTTGTGACATTCGACAATGGAGATTGAGTAAATTGTTCTGTCATATATACACCTCTTCTAACAACTCCATTTAAGACAGTTATATTGAAGTGCATTATGTGTGTTATCATTGACTGAAAAAAAAAAAAAAAACTAACCTTGTAAATAAGTTTCTCCATAAATATTTTTGAGAAATAATATATCAAAAATTTTTGGTTAGTACTAACCTGTTAACCTGACAGTTGTTACATCAGAAGATTGAGACATATTACATCGACCTTGCATAGGTGCAACTTTACCAAATGATAGTTTATCTCCAGCGAAAAAGGGGGAACATTTTGAATGTTGGCTCCTAATAAAAAAGATAAGAAAATATGAATAATTATTATTTTTCAAACATATAAATAGAATGAAACATCTTTTACAAAATTTAATTTTATCATTAGTAATATCCGATAATGGAATACTACATAATTCTACTTGATTAGATGCACTTCCTCCAATAAAATCATTTAGATAATGCCCATTAGAATAATCACTTAGAATATTATTTTCTGCAATTGTAAAATACACACTCATATATTAATTACATTTTAAAGTACTTTATATAATTAAATACTTTGACAAAAAAAAAATTTTATTGTTAATATGTAACATTGGGACATATTATCACTCACCATTGGTGACATTTGAATGACACACTTTGACACATTTACTGTGATTAAAATATTAAACATCTTCACCAGATGATTTTGAGTTACTTCATTTTTTTTCAACATTATCATCCATAACACTACTTGTCTCTGAATACTCAAAATCTGAAGAAACTAGAGAAAATGTTAAATATCTATTATAAACAATTTATAATGTTTAGCATTAAAAGAAAATTTAAGAAGTTCAACCTGTCAATAAATAAAATTATTTATTTATTTTCTTAAATGACTCTCGCTTGAGAGCCAAATTTAAAAGGACAATACTACTAGCAAGGTATGCAGTGTACTAACAGAAGCTAAATGCCCACCTATTAAGTTCTCTTTTTTCCTTTTAAATTAACAATTAAAACCTTCCAAACAATCATAAAGAGTTATACAACAACTCTTTGTCTTTTCAATATGAATCAAAACCATAAACAATTTGAGAGCTATAGTTTGGCAAGCAAATAAAAGGTTAGATAATTTAAAAATTACCTGCACGATATATGTTTGGCAGTAAATAAATGAGGCAATGAGATCTTTAGCATTGAAAGAAAAAAAAAAGTCATATTGAGAGAAGAATAGTCATAGAGGAAGAAATATATATACAACATAATTTTTCAAAAAAATTTCAGTATATGTATGAGGCATAACATGTTCAGCTTGGATGGTGAATAAATATTAGAAACCAATAATTAGATAAGTCCATCAATTGAATCATTTGTGTTCAAAGAGAGAAAAAAAAATAACAATGAGAGAAAAATATTTAGAAAAGAAGAAATAAAAAATAAAGAGAGAAAAATAATATTATAATAATGTATTTTAATAAAATACTTTAAATAAATAACATAACACAAAAGAGTATAAAGTGTCTATCCTCTGTCTTATAAATAACTATGCACTACCTGTGACATAATAAAAAATGAACAGCTTCTAACATAACAATCTAAATATAATAGAACTTTAATATTTTAATATTAAATACCTTTAATTGTTGTTGCAACCATTAAAAATAAAAATGAAGAGTCACTCACCTTTTAATCATGGGCTGCAAGAAACAAACATCAAATGCTCATCCAAGAAAGCAAAATCCACTTGCTTTTATTAATTGAGTTTATCTAAAAAATTATCCACCAAATACACAGTAAAGTCATCCTCTGAAAGTTTTTGTTTTGTTACTTTAAAACAACTAGCAACCAAATGCTTTAATTATCCGATGGGGTAGTGATTATTTTGACTTATTTGCTTTAACCAACCATCACAAATCAAAAAATATACTAACTTTTAAATTTTTTTTCTTTTTATTTGTGTAACATTTTAATTTTGTAGTAATTATTTGATATTCATTTATTTTTTCTTTTTAATTGTGTAACATCTTTATTGGTAGAAATCTTAGGTTAGTTTTTGAATCAGTAATCAAAGTATAAAATCTAATTATTTTGCATGCGTGGAGTGTTACATCCATTGGTATTGAAGCTTTCCATACGTTTCAGGACACGTGGCGGCCCTGTCATCATTTCTCTGAAAAGCCACCCTGTAATAAATGCACATCCCTCCATAGC